TTTTTTTTTTTTGGGCCCTCCCCTCTTTCAGTTAAATATGAAGCTGCTGCGAAGAGCTTGATGATTGAAATATCCATTCATGTAACGGTGAATTGCTACAAAGAGGCGACATTTTGATGAGACATGTACCTTTGAAAGGGTCCAACAATGAATGAATGACCTCGGGCTTCGAGCTCGGCATCCTGACAAGTCTGGGAACGAGGGAACACAGAGGGCTCCGCCTTTCTTGGGGCTCGGGGCCTGGGTGCACTATAAGCTCTGCGCTATTGCCTACATGGTACCTACCTTACCTACATGGGGGATTGAGGTAGGCTGAGCAAGATGATGACTTGAAAGGTGCGCGCGACTCGACGCTGGGGGAGTCATCAGTCAGTCGAGTCACGCATCTCCTTGGGTCAAGGATTCCTGCATGCGTCCGCAGGCGACCCTTTGAAAAGGATCTTTTTAGCGGAGTATGGAGCCTGTAGCCTACCTTATGTAGAACCCGCCTTGCCTGCACGTTGCACATTACACTGGAAGGACTTTGATCCACGGTATCAACCTACCACCAGGTGCCGGGCACATCTGTACAAATTGCCTCGATGAAAGTAACCGTACCCAGCGACATTGAGGCCTTCCTATAATGAGTCTCTCTATCTTACGATGAGTGGGTTAACAGCAGGCAATTTGTATATATGTAATAAATTATGCAAATGTACCTACGTAGTAGTGCTTTGAGAACAAGTTGAGGGCGACAGCAGACCAAGAGGACGTCATCTGATGTGTTCAGTCTGTGATCGCATAACCCACTCGTGGACAAGATGGAAAGGCGAGACGGGAAGAGGGTCTGCTCCCCCCCAGAAGGCCCTTATTAGCCTTTTCTTTTCCCCTACCTTTGAGCTACACACACTAGGTTGCTAGGCTGCGCAATGTGGGCAACATACCGTAGTCAGTCGATGCGGGCACGCATTTTGTCATTGCCCACATGGGAGAAATCCCCACCACCTGCCATCGTCCATGGACCAAGGTGAACTTGCGCCAGCTTGGTGGGTAGCCAAAAGCCAGCCCGTTAAGTTTTTCGCAGCCTGGATCGGGACGTAGGTTGGCTTCGGTGGGTTGGTTCGCCTGGCCGGGGGTGTGCCCTTCCCTCTCCCAGCTTCTCTTAAGGCTTCATGCCCAGGTTATGTTTAGCTAGGTACGTCAGGGTGACCAATCGCCTCTTCACCATCTTCCTAGCTAGTGGTCCACCCATTTGACCGATCACTCACACACCACAGAGAGGGAAAGAGTAGAGAGCTAGGACCCCCAGAGCTTTTCTTGGTCATCCATCCCATCGTCACTCCATCACAGTCAGACCCATACGTACCTACTTAGATACGCGCATCTCAGCTCAACTCCAGGCTGCAACGCCCGTGTCGACAATTCCTCATAATTTCCCCCGTCATTTCATAGCTTTAAAGGTCCGCGCGCAGATACGCCCCCGGACACTCCCCCGCAGCCTATACGTAACTGCCAATACAAACTCGTGGTAGGCTACGATCCTCTCTATTACTCCGGTACCCCGGATCAGATCTGAGCTCAACGTTACGCGTTCGCGCAGCTGCCTTTATATCTGTCCGGGATTCCAGCATGGCTCCACGCGAAAAGAGCCAGCTGAAGCGAGTTCGAGTACGTTTGTCCTGTCCAATGTGCTTATAAATAACTATGGCTTACCTATTTGCCAACAAAAGGACTCGCCTCACGAAGCCGATCCCACCAAAAAGCCCAGACGTTCGGAAAGACTATCCCAGGGCAACGGCGAGCAACTAAAAACTCCCGTCACCAAGAATCAACAGAAATTGCCATCGCCTGTCACGTACCAAGAGGACAGCAGCGGCACTGAGCACTACAAGGAGCCAACAGCCACTCCGCCAAATGGCAGGCCAAGCCAGGTAGCCCGCAGAACGCCAGAAGACACGCTAGACTCCCAGTTCTCCTCACCACCAAACGACACACAAGCTTTTCCTTCGCAATATGTCGACCCCCAAGCCGCCCTATCCGACGAGGTCGAAGATGAGGTGAAGGAGGGAGTCTGGGGCTACCTCTTTCCTCTGGATACAAAATATGGAAGATGTGTGGTTTTGCGCAAAAGAGCACCATGCCCTTTGCCTGACAGTGTAAGCGAGATCAAGCCGGTCAAGCGCAAGAACCAAAAGAAGGCCCTGGAGCAAGAAGAGTCCTACGAGGAGTCAAAAACACACGGCACCCCTGCTGGCGGCTACTTGATCGGACGACACCCAGAGTGTGACGTGATTGTAGATGATCCAGTCATCTCAAACCGCCACTGTCTCCTCTTTACCGAAAACAAGGGCAATGACGCCACAGCAGTCTTGGAGGATCTGTCCAGCAATGGTACATTCGTCAACGAGGCGTTGGTCGGCCGAAACCAGCGGAGAGAGCTGCAAGACCAAGACGAAATCGCCGTCATGGACAAAGGTCGATTCATATTCCGCTACCCCCGAAGTCGCATGTCAAGTGCCTTCCTCCAGCAGTACACTCTTTTGGAGCGGCTTGGCAAAGGTCACTTTGCCGAAGTGTTCCTGTGTGTGGAGAAATCCACCGGCACCAAGTACGCTGTCAAGATCTTCACAAAGCAGCCTGGTATGGACGAGAGGTCCAAGACGGACGGCCTGCAACAGGAGATTGCTGTCCTAATGGGCGTGAGTCACCCAAACATTTTATGTCTGAAGGACACATTCAACGAGAAGAATGCAGTCTACTTGGTCCTGGAGCTCGCACCTGAAGGCGAGCTCTTCAACCATATCGTGATGAAGCAGAAGTTCAATGAGGATGAGGCTCGAGCATTGTTTATACAACTGTTTCAGGGCATCAAGTATCTTGTATGTAACCCAGCACTCACCCCTCTGGTTGATTCCGATTGTCGCTAACCAATCCCAGCATGATCGCAATATTGTTCACAGGGACATCAAGCCTGAGAATATTCTGGTAGTGGACAAGGAAATGCACGTGAAGCTGGCTGACTTTGGACTCGCTAAGATTATTGGCGAGGAGTCCTTTACTACCACGCTCTGCGGCACTCCTAGTTATGTTGCCCCTGAAATCCTTGCAGACGGAAGACATCGCAAATACACCGACGCTGTGGACATCTGGTCCCTGGGCGTGGTTCTGTACATCTGCCTCTGCGGCTTCCCGCCTTTCTCTGACGAGCTCTACACCAAGGAGTTTCCCTATACGTTGTCGCAGCAGATCAGGAGTGGCCGTTTCGATTACCCATCTCCTTACTGGGACTCTGTCGGCGACCCAGCCCTGGATTTGATCGATCGGATGCTAGTTGTTGCGCCTGAGAAGCGTTTCACTGTCGATGAATGTCTCTCGCACCCGTGGATCACTCAGAAGATGCCCAATCTGAACGACAGCACGGACGGTCTCGTGGACGGCGTGGGAGGTCTGCAGGTCAACAAGCGTGGCGTCCACCGCGAACGCACATTGTTGTCCTCGATCAACGAAGTCACAGTAGCGCGCAAGGTACCACTGGGTCCGGACCAAGAGGACAAGGGGCCTTTGGTGGTGTACGCAAAGAATCAAACGACCTCTAGTCATACAAACATTAAGCCCCAGGAAGCCCGACCAGCTGATCAGCGGACCGCCAAAGAGTTCATGGAAATGGGTGGAAAGGGTGACCAGGCACTTTTCGGCAACGACGACACCAGTTTTTACACCAAAGACGAAGCATTGGCTGCCAAGGGCAAATCGACAGTCAATGGGGAGACAAAATCCAATGGACGGTAATGTGGTGGGTGTCTTGACTTTTGGGTGGATTTTTGCTATCTGTGTCCATGCTTTCCATGTTGTTCTTGTTTTTACAGATGTCCAAGACATGGCTCGAGTATGAAGTTTCAGTCATTGGTGATATGGAGTTTATTTTTGCGTCATTACATGTCCCGGGCATCTGGGACATGTTTATATCATCTCACTACTATGGGGAACGAGTTTTTATTGGTTCTAGGCGTTACCGGATCGAAAAAGGGATTCCGAGGTTATGGAAGAGAGCCATCTAACCTAGTTTGCGAAGTTTTGGCATGCGACGATATATATGTACATGGCTCATGGTCACAACTGTATATATGTATCTTGCCGAGGTCGCCATTTTCCTCGAAACCTTATCAATATAATGATTACGCAGGCGATGCCTTGATCTGAGGTGCTTGAGTATGTCATATTTGTCTTATTACTCGGTCCACCTGCCAACAGAACAAAAAGATCGATTATGTAACCTGTCTGAGTAAGATTAATAATAGTGTATATTCACTTCACCCAGACAGGCGTTATGTGTGTGACGAAACAGAATTTGACCGTACGTTTACATGTCAATCTCGGAAAATTTCTAGTTTATTTACATGTGCTCTCATGAGCTTGGAGCCAATTATTCCAGTTTCTCTCGGCCACTTCCTCGGGCGTCAGTCCTTCTTTACTCCAAGTTGGGATCCTTGATGGAGCCAGGCTTGGGCACCGAATTGGCAATGGCGCCGCAGTTCTTGCACTTGCGATTGTCCTCGGAAGCCATGAAGGTCTCAATGGCGGCCTTGATCTGGGTGCCGAGATCGGTGCAGTGAAAGGCGGCCTCGTGGACGACGCGGCGGCACCCTTCCTCGGCGCAGTACCAGCGCATGCGGTCGAGGCTGGCGGCGGGGCGCCGCTGCTCCAGCACCACGCCCACCGTGTCGGCGAAGCGGACGGGGTTGTGCGGCGTGTTGCCGGGGAGCAGGAACATGTCGCCCTCGCGGATGATGATGTCCCTGAACTCCCCGTCGTCGACGACCTTGAGCATCATGGCGCCCTTGTGCTGGTAGAACCATTCTGGCGTCTCGTTGATGTGGTAGTCGGTGCGGGCATTGGGGCCGCCGACAATCTGTAAAGGTCTGTTAGGGATTTTCTTTTTGCTTCTTTTCTTTTCTCGCTCAAACTTACCATGACTGTGAATCCCTCATTGTATACACAGTAGTTGTTGACAGGCGGCTTTAGTAAATGAGAGTTTTCCTCCAACCTAGAGAACAAACAGTCAGTTCTGAACTATGCATATTATTCCAATATGTATTATTCATTCTTTTTCTTTTTTCAAGGCATATGAAACATACCACTTTGGCAGGTTTACCGGAACGGAAAGCATGCTGCTCGTAATGACTTCTTATCCTTTCCTGATTTGGCGGCAAGGGCGGGCTTGAGTATTGATTGCCGTAATGTGCCGGGCGTTGTGCAATTTGATAAAAGCAAAATAGATTAAAAAGAAATTCAATGTTATAGAAATTGAAGCTGATATAATCCTTGTCTTTATATATCTTTCTTTTCCCAAGTTTTGACGTGGAGCGGCGGCGGCAATAAGACAAGTTGACTTGACAAAAAGCACGCGGCCGAAGCGGCAAGCTACGGGAAAGCTTACAAAGTTCCCATTCTTCCCCCACCATCTATCTGCCCACATCCGCGATCCGACGCCGACAATTTTGAGTACTTGGGGAGGGGTGAGCATCATCGTCATGATCCCGCTCTTTGCCATCGGGTCGCTTTCCAGAAGCCGGGGTTAAGTAAAATAATCAATAGATTTGTAAGACAGCTTTAATGTACTAATTTAGACCTCACTCCGTCTTTTACACGCTTGTCAGCAACATGTATGTATGCACACTAATCTAGCAAGTAGGAAAGTAGAAGTAGTTGGATAGTATGTCAGTGTAGGTAGTATTATGAAAGGCAGATCAGTTGTTTGAGAGTCGTTCCGTCTTCCGTTTTGCCCAGCAGGTACGTACATTATAAGAAACTCAGACGTGGGCAGTAGGTCGCGGGAAGGGTCAAGCTTTCAGTGTTCCATGCTTCCACTGAGACGTCCAAAAAGCGAGCGCCCGCTGCATTGGTCTCGCCTTATCGCCCCGTGTCTGACGAGGGGGTGTGTGTGTGGCTTACGAAGTAGCGTACGTTCCGGGGGGCAGAAGCACCTGGGCTGCTGGGCGCTGCCAATCCTGGAGCATGTGAGCTGCACTGGCTGCAGACTTCTTGCAGCTCCTCCGCCTTTCCCAGGTCTGGAACAGGATGGGGGGAGGCCCTGAGTTGCTAAAGGCGGGTTACTACATTAAGGTACTACCTATCTGATAGTTTTTGAGACACACTACGCTGTCCACTTTGAGCATGTTTGAGCTTGTTTGTCTGGTAGAGTCAACTTACGACTCGTTTATACCATCTTTGAATTGAATCTTTCTGCTACATTTTATATATTCGAACGACCTATCCAACCTTTGGCTTTCATTCATACACACGTCCTAGATATAGATTCAGCAGATTTCAGCAAAGACCTGCGCCACGCACCACCTCAAAAACTGGTCCACTACAGCTTGTATCTTCTCTCTTCCGCCATTCTACAACTCACGCGACAGCAGCAGCAATGGATCACAAACACATGGATCACAGCGGCATGGACCACGGCAACATGGACCACGGAGGAATGGATCATGGAGGCCACGGCGGCATGACGGACATGTGCAGCATGAACGTGAGTAGTCAAGGAAAGATATTCATTGGCAAATGGGCCAAGGCTTTTCTCCTTGTCTCGCTTTTCCACCCGAGGCGCTCACGACATGCCGCGTTGCTAACAAAGGGAAAATGCCCAGATGCTGTTTACCTGGAACTCGGAGAACCTCTGCATCATCTTCAAGAGCTGGCACGTCCGCGGCACGGCGTCGCTGGTCTTTTCTCTCCTCGCCATTGTCGCCATTTGCATTGGCTACGAGGCCCTGCGCGAGGCCACGCGGCGGTACGAGACTTGGGTCAACAAGCGACAGGAGACGGCTCCTCGTGAGTTTTTTCTTTTTCAACCCCCTTATCCTCCCTCTTTCCCTATGTGTAATAAAAAGGAAAAAACCGTTTTTCTCTGTCCTCCAGCAATGTACTGCAAAGATGTCACTCTACTTCGCCCCAGCGCCTGGCTAAGATTGCGCCCCCCAAATAAAAAGTCATCATCGGCGAACGAGAAGACGGACAAGATCATGTTACTGAGAATACGCCGTTCCTGTGGTCAGGACAACACCAGGTCGAAGTCAGCAAGCGGGCGCATATCATCAAGGCGCTGCTCTATGCCGTGCAATGCTTTTACGCCTTTATGATGATGTAAGTTTAGATTTCACTTTTTCCCCTGTTTTCTCCTTCCCCCCCCCCCCCCCCCCCCCCTCCTGGCGCAAAAGTTCTCGAGGCCAGGAATGAGTTTTTTAACCTCTTTTTTATTTACTTGTTGATTCAGGCTGCTTTTCATGACATACAATGGTTGGGTCATGTTGGCCGTCTTCATTGGCAACTTTGTTGGCTATATCATGTTTGGAAACTCTACCAAGGCGACCAAGGAAACTGCGTGCCATTAAGTCATCGTGCAAACCGCCTGGTAGAGGGATGACGGAGTTTGAGAGCAGGAGAATTGCGCGCAAGCATCGACCAAAAGCATGGCTCTGATGCTACAGAAGATTATGCAGGAGTTCTTTGGGCGCGGTGGATTGCATACATGTAAAGCGAAATATATATCAAGGTTTACTGGGATTGATTCTAAAAATGTCAGTCTACATTTATGCGTACCCAGTACAACTACATCTTGGCATCTTTGACTTCTTCTCTGACAGCGTCGAGGCCGACTTCTCTCCGCTTCTTCTCGGGTAATCGGCCTTGCGACTCGAGCATTGCTATGATCTTCTCATCTCCGTAGTGGTCATTGTGCTCAAACTCGGGCTCTTCGGCGTAAGCAACGCGCGCCGTATCCACGAGCATCCGGCCCGTCAGGCCCCAAACCAGGAACCTCTGTACGGCGTCTTCCTCCTCCTCTAGCTCGTCGGCCAGGGCTGCCTGCCCGTCGGCCCGGATCTTTGGCCGCGCCACCTGCTGGTTGTTCACGGGTACCCAAAAGTTGTGTATCCTCCAGGGCTCATTGTGCCACTCGGTCCAGCGGCCATCGTACCAGTCGCCGTCGGGGGCGCGGTCGGGTTGCTCGTCAGTGGCCTTGAGAAAGTTGTGCAGCGGGGCCGAGAAGACGGCGGCAACTTCCTTGGCGTCGAGCCGAGGGATCATGCTCTCGTCAACGGTGGGCGGCGGCGGCTGGCCCGGAGTGCTGTCGGCGTGGAGAAAGGCGACGCATGGTCGCACCGCCAGCTCCGTCTTGGCCAGACTGCACGGCAGCGAGCAGAGAGGCTCGATCCGGAAAGGCTTGGGGATTTTGCTGTCGTCCATGGGAAGGCCAATTTCCTCCCAGGCTTCGCGGCGGGCGATTTGATCTGTACGGCGCGGGTTCGCTTTAGCAGTACTCTTCTCCTCTCGTATCTTTTTTTGGGTAGAAAATCATAATCCGTTGCATTCTCTTCCTTTCTGGGATCACTTACACGGCGTCTCAGTCAAAGAGTCGGCCTTTCCTCCCGGAAAAGCGGCATGACCTGTTCACGATTTGTGCCACTCGTCAGCGCAAACTGCTTTCATTTTTCTCTCCCTCCCTCGTCATTTTTCTTCATCTTTTGAGGACGGACAATATCCTTACCAGAAAAGCTCCGCAGACTTGTCGCCCGCATTGTAATCACGACCCGGAGATCGCCCCGCCGATCCGCAAACAGGAGCACCAGGACGGCGGCGCGGCGACTGACCGGTAGGCGATCCCAGGTCGGAAAGGGCGGCGGCTTGTAGGCGCGCAGACGCGCAATGGCGGCCTTGGATCGCATAAGCCACATTGTTCTCGTTGTTTCCCCCTTCGCAAATATGTTTTTTCTTTGGTTCTTTTTTTATGCAACCTCTACTCTTCTTTTTTTTTTGGAAATTTTCAAGCTATACTGACCGCCGATACTGCATTGAGCGAGGCCATGGTTGATGCGTCCCAATAGTCCGAGGCCGGGAGAGAATCAAGGTCGAGGTCGAGGGAGAGCTCGAGAGCTGATTTGCCGTCGTTTTGCGCGCCAGTGTAGCTACTATTGTTGTGCTCCGTCTCCGTTGCGGCCTCGCAAAGGCTCTGCAAAATCTCACCACTCGCCTCCTCGGTCTGCTGTTCGAGGGCGGCGGCTGAGCTGTTGATATTGTTATGGTGGTCGGCGGCGTTTTCGGCTTGTGCAGGGACGGCGGCGGTCTGCTGGTGATCGGAGCCGGTGGCCGAGGTAGTCATGATCCTCTTGTGCTTTTGCTTTTTTATTTTTCCCGTGGACGAATTGGGGTCAAGGAGTTTCCAGAAACTAATAACAACCCCCCAGACTCTCCAACTCTTTCGGCGAATCGTGTAGTGGTGGGATGTTGTAAGAGGTTAGACACGAGAGAGAGCTAATCTATGTGCTGACACTTGGGCGCAGACTGACGTACGTAGTAAAGCTTAGCCGAATTGATGGGGGACTGCGGGGCTCAAGTTCTAACCTAGGCAATATTTGCAGGGGGAGCTGGAGGTAAAGGTTAGCTCCCTCTGGGGCAGTCTTTTAGCGGATCTCTCCCGCTGCCAAGCTACCTTATTTACCATCGGGTTCTCAGTATGTACATTATTGATAGTATACTGTCCATTCCTTTTATGATCACCCTTGGTTGCGAGAATGAAACAAAAACATACAGTATGAATCTAGATTTCAAAGTCTGATGAGTATCTACACGAGGTTGGCATTATAAAACTCTGGATGCCCACCCATCAGGTCTGTCCATCTCCGCAATATACTTCGAGGAGGGCATAAAAAAGTATAACGCTATTCATGTCTACCTTAAGATGAGGTTTTAAGATCTATTCTGCTGCTCCTGCCGCGGATTATGGTGTTGTATTTTTCCTCTCAACTCTTCAATCCTCTTTTCTCTCTTGGCCTCTTCAGACGAAAAGGAAAATTTCGAAATAACGTCTCCCCCGGCGTGCTTGACCCGCGACACCAGCTTGCCCATGGCCCTTGACCTGCTGCTACCAGTATTATTACTGCTACTGCCTCCCTCGCTGGTCTCCTTGGCGCCGCTGTTTCTCTCCGAGGACCTGCCCCAGCTCGTCCTCTTGGGCTGCTTGTCCTTTGCAGCATGGCCATTGTCGTCGTCGTCGTAATCCCAAGAACTAATCATTGTGGTGGACGCTGCTGCTGCTGCTGCTGCTGCTGATGCAAGTGGCTGCTCCGGATACGGCGTCTTGATGTGATCCTCTGCCGCCTTGCCGTCGTGCAGGTGCAGTGGCACCGGTTTCGGCTTGCTGCCAGCCCGGCTCCGCTTCGAAAAGGCCGGTGTGTCCTTGATTGCAAATGAGACTCGAGAGGATGTACCGCTGGGTGCCGGCGAGGATTGCTTTGATGATGCTGCTGCCGCCGCCGCTGCGGTGGCGCCGTACCCCTTGGTCCAGAGACTGTAGGGTGACGTGATTATATCCTCGCCGTCAGTGGATTCGGTCATGGGCATCTTTGTGTTTACTACTGGCGCTCTCGTGGTTGTAGGTTTTGTATAGTTGTTTTCGCTCCGAGGCCGTGGATACTGATCTGGACGCCAGGCTGACGTCTTGAGATACGGCTTGGGCGCTGCCAGCATAAACGCTCCTTGACCTCCTCCTGTTGCGTTGGTGGTGGGAGGTGAAGAAGAAGTCTCAACGAGGGGGCTCCCCGGGTCGCTATGGCGGAAATGCGGCTGGTAATGACCATGATGGGGTTTGGACGTTTTTGATATCATCTTCTTCGTCTTATCCTCCTCGGTCGAAATGGGGTGAAATCCTAGCGACGAGTGTGACGCTGCCGGTGGTATATCCTCCCATCCCGACTGTCGTCTCGAGCCGGAATCGACGCCGCCTCCCCCCATCGTTGTCCAGCGTTGATATTGGTCGGCTTCGTGATCAAGCTCTGAGACGGTTTGCTGTCCAAAGCTCCTAAACGACGACGAATCCTCGGGCGTCAGCGGCGAGACCTCATGTGCCTGGTACGAAAAGGTCCCCGTCGGCGGAGATAGGATGGGGCTCACATCGACACACCCTTCGTCGTTTTGTTCGAGATCCTTGACGATCTTGTGGTCGGGATGTCTCGGCCGCGGCGAATGTATAACAGTATCTTGCTTCTGTTGCTGCCGCTCACTGAAGTGTGTGACTATACTCATCCCCGGTGGTCGAATCATGGCCATGCCATCCTCATTGACAGACCCCTCGAAACCGGCATCGGCACCACCACTCCCCCCACTGCCGGCTCTGCTGCCGCTGTACATGAATAGCGGCGACTCATGTCGATGGAAGCGGCTCGGCGTCGCTCGGCAGGACCCTTCCGAGTTATACACGGACGACGATGAGGATGCCGATTTGGGCGGTAGGGGCGGCAGGTTTCTGCTCGCGTAGCTCGGCACGGCACTGGGTGGTGGGAAATGGTTCTGGCCGTTCCTGGGCGGCGGGCGGCGACTCTGCTGCTGCTGCATTGGCCTGTTGCTCTGCTTTTGCGCTTCGTGATTGCCGTAGATGCGCTCCATATCCCCTCTTGTATTTGCAAATTATCTCGCTCTTCTTGCCACGCCTTTGCCTTTGCCTTCTCAATAAAGAGGCTCTGAAAGCTGGCAGACTCTACCAGCGAAAGCGTGGTGTTTACAGTAGAGCAAGTGTAGTCTTGTCTGGGGAATGACATCCAACAAAGAGAAAGACTCCCGTCATGACTCAAGCCCTGCCATCGCTTCCGGGCGTACAGCCATGATGGTCGTACTCCTTTGTTCCCTGGTGATATATGAACACAAAGAGGAGGGGTTTTTGGGTGTGGCCGAGTTTGCGCCAGGGTCACACACGTTTTTCTGTTATGTGGAACAAGTTTGCCGTGATACATTGATCCATCTAACAAAGATTAAGTTAATGGTTTTCGTTCATTTTCTTCATCCTTTTTCCCATTTTTCTAACATGATTTCAATGGTTCACACAGCTAATTCTAACATTGGGCGGTGCTCACAAGTTTTGCCGGCATTTGCAGTGCCGCTAGACATGATTTACATAGCTGTGCAGCATATCTGAATCACTCTACATTCCACATGACTGCAACCGGATGACTTACTTGTCATGAGTTGAAGGAATACAGTTCAACGAGCTACTTACTACAAGACAGAATGGGAATGTCTAGTTTAGTTTACATTTACATACACGACATATCAGATTCATACAGTAGCTATAGTTGCATACATTCTATTGGGTACATGGCGGATGGCCAATGATTATTAAGGTGTACATCAGTACTTTCTATACAGCTGAACCCTATGAACGGTAGATAGAGAATCTCTCCTCTGTCAAATATAAGAGACAAGAAGTTTTCGGAACAATTATCCTGTGCGCCATGCAAAATGCTCTCTCTCTTATCAATATTCCTGTCCTCGTTGTCTCATGACAATTCCAAATGCAAATGATCAAGTTTTAACCAGTCTTCTTGATTCATGAAGAAAAGAACAAAGCCTCACTTAGTGTTCATAGCGATCCACAAAGGTCGTCACATCCGACACAAAATTGACCCAGGAACACTTGCATCCACCCGTGCCGCCATCGATGCCGCCGAGGCGCGGATCCTCGTTACCCATAGGGTTGATCAGGGTGCCGCCAGCGCTCTTGTCAACAGTGATGAGCGAGGCATTGGACGTGACAACACGCTGGTCGTCACCAATCGGCCACACAATGGTGCCCTTGACGTTCTCGTCGCCGCCATGGAAATCCTCGGCAATGGTGACGGGGTAGGGCATGGTGCCCGGCAGGTTGTGGGAGGCGTCGTCGTCGTCCTCATTCATGACCACCACGGGCCCTTGGTTGCCCAGTAGGTTTGCATCGAGTCGCGTCCAAATCTTGACCAGGAACCGAGCCTGGCTCCAGACTACCAGAGCCGTGGCGTCCTTGAGCAGGGCGCCGCCGTCAGCGTCCTCGTCATTGTCCTCCTCTTGATCAAAGATAAAGATGGACTTGTTAAAGTACGTGTAAAAGCCATAGTGCTCCGTGTCGAGCCCGCGGTCAAAGAGTCGGACGGGTTGCTGGGAGGGGAGCGGATACAGGACGGCTGGCAGGGGAGTCTTGTCCGTCTTGACTGGGGCATCGACAAATTGGCTAATGTTTTGAGATGCGGACGAGCCCGAGTCAATACCATTGCCCAAGCCACGTCGGCTCAGCACGTCCGGTCCGACAGTACCGTCTACCGAGGAAAGAAGGCTAATGAAGAACGGCGTAGGCTCACCCGCCTTTTCGTCAGACTTGATATCGTCTGTAGTATTGCCCAAAAAGAACATCTCCTTGTAATCCGGGGGTGAAGGATTCGGGGAGAACCCAGTGTCGTATACAAGAGCGCGCCGCATTATGGCAGCAGCCCGAGCCACGGCACTGGCAAACGATCGACGGCCAGAAACTGTGTCTGAGTCTTCATCATCCATGGCATGGCCGAAGCCTCGCTTCTTCTGCTCGCCAGTAGTAGTGACGTTCCACAGAGCCCGCGTATTGTTGTCAAACTGAATCTGGAAGATGAACTCGGGCTGGTTGGTATCGAATTGCGAGTTGGGATCCTGCTGGTTCTTGGGGATCGAACAGCTCCACAGGGTCTTTGCACTCTCGGTGAGGCATCTAGTGTCTGATTTGGTGTTGTTCGGGCCGGCCACGGTCAGCACACCAGTGGGCATTGGTGGAAAATCGGTCAAGTTGAGCCAGACATTGTGCGGTGTCGGTGTCGGCGTAGCACTTGGAATTGCCGAAGAGACGGAAGTCCCGCTCTGTACGGGATCCTGTGAGACCTGGGGTTGAGTGGCCGCTATTGTATCAGACTTCTTGTGGGTCAAGACGACTGCGAGGAGAACTGCCAGGATGATGGCCGCAAGAACACCGCCGAAAATGCCTAGACAAATACGGCGTCTCTTTCTTCCCTCACGACCTGTTCGTCCAAAGCAACCCTCGGCGGGAATACAGCCTCGGCCTCTCCAGAAACCTCCAACTCGACGAGCAACAAACTCTTCCTTCTCATGACGCCTTCTGTTGCGCTCGCTCTTCATATTAGTACCGGCAGCTTCACGAAACTGGTCGTGAGTCACATGCGTGCCGATTGGTCGGTCATGAAGAACTGCGCCGGGTATAACTCGGGGTGTGATGGGTACATCGTCCATCATGATAGCTCCTGGTGAGCTCATCGTTTGGGGGATTCCGGGTGAGATTGGTCCAGGGGATGGAACTCGCTCGGTGCTAATGGCATGAGGAGTGAGTGCCGCTCCGTATTTCACCTCTCTAAGGGAATATGGTGGTGGCTGATCAACGGGACTCTGTGTGCCGTTCTGCTCGAGTAATATGCGAGCCTTTTCAGACTGTGTTTCTGCTCGAGTGGTTGAGGGGTTCTGGGAAGATGATGCAATGGTCCGTGAGCTCTGGCCGGTGTTCTGCGTAGAAACGGTAGCATTCATGACAGGCCGATCAGAGAGGGGCAAGGGTGCTCTCTTTTCATTCTCATTGGTCTTGTGCCACCATTCTGTGGTGGGAGTTACGGCTGATGAGCTGCTCTCTCCTGTCTGCATGGCGGTCTGTCTGAAGGGGTTGTTGGTTTGCTGGGAGATCCTCACGGTATCCCACCAGCCCTTTGATCTTCCCGTACCCTCGGGACTAATGGCTGATGTGGGCTTTGCTGACTTGCGTGCTGCCATTGGGCTTCCGTCTTCCTCGAATAGTGTGCAAGGTGTTCCTCTCTCGTCGTCTTCCATGTCAATGAGTGACTGTTGTTGTTGCTGTTGCTGTTGTTGTGTTTGCTTGAACTTGTAGGTAGCAGGCAAACTGGGAACGGGTGGTGCTGAAGAAAAGTCAGGACCACCACCGCCCCGGATGGTCATCTGTGAATAGATACTAGAGGCCGGGCGTGAAATATAAGGTGATTCACTGGCTTCGGTGTCGGGAGACCAGACAGATCGCAATTGTACTGGGGTTGTCTCCAAAGCCCCGGTATTTTGTGATGCCAGTCTCTGATTGTAGTGTTGGACCGCCATGGGCGTCTCAACCACTGCCGTCTGTGGACTGACTTGGTGTTCGCTGGCTGATTCTGAAGGCATGGCGATTCCAATGACAATCGGCCGGGACTCGGGCGAAAGAGGCGAACCTTTGGCCGACTTGGCCGACAAGTTGCCAGTCTTCCGTCGCAGCCATGAAAAGCTGCCTACAGAGGCAGAGTTTGGTGATCCCTCCAGTGCCCTGAGAGCAGCAGCATCTGCGAATCGAGTGGCATTCTCGGGATGAGCGCTTTGCTCGGTGGGCTTTCTTTGCAGCGCTGGCGGGTTTCGTGACTTGGCCACATTTGTGTCGAGAGTGATGCCAGCCTTTGCAATCTTTGCCTTTGCGTGGCCCTTGGACTTGGCGCGGAACATGGGCTTGTGAATCGAGTATCGATGCATAGAGTCCCGTCTGCCATGATTGCTTGTTGTGTAACCACGTTCGACATCCACCATCGGTCCATCGTCCAGTATTGTTGTTGCAGGTCTTTCATCTTCGCTCCAATCCTCCCACTCATCTCTATCGGGAGGCGGCGACTGTTTTCTGAAGGGGTTATTACTTGTGTGGGTGTTGGTGGTTGCCATGTTTGCGATGTACATGGGTGGTCGTTAGACACGACAACGGCGACTGGGTGAAAGCCGCAAAGAAAGAAGAAGAGAAATCTCAGAGAATCCAGCTGTGAGATTTGTTTGAATTATAGAGAACAAAAATAAACCAGAAGATGAAAATATAAACGGAAGAATGCGCAGAGAGAAAGAAGCAACACTTCTTTCGTGACTATCGGCGCAATTTTGTCCTTTGTGTTCTCGTTGGTTGAGTCGAGTAAGTGTCAGGCAGGTGTGTCACAAAACGTGTTGCGACTAAAATGCTGCGGCGGGTGGGAATGAATTATTCACAAACGGCGAAATGGAAGAAGATGATGCGTGTTTACAAAGGAAAGACACGAACGAAGAACCAACAATGGGCCACGACCACGAAAAGAAGAGAGAATGAAAGAAGTTCCTTGTGTGTGAACTGAGGTCGATGGAGGTGGTGGCCTACAATAAAAGACTATGTATGGGGCGAGGACAATGGCCGTGGCCCACCTACTATGTCCATGGTAACGCGGCTGCAACGGCCTTGGCTTGTGGTTTGCCGACCTACCTGACCAAGACAATCCGAGGCCGCGGATGCAGAGATTATTCAGTGAGCCCTTGCATCGAGCAGGACAATCGTCGCTTAGCTGAGGCCATTCCGCTCTCTGAGTGGTCCACGACGGTCAATCGGCGGTGGATCGCAAGCTGCCGGGTACCCAGCAACAGGCATTCTGGGCCATTGTCGCTATTTCGGCTAACGTTGAGCAGCAAGGCAACCCAGAGCTTCTTGCTGATCAGGTTGGTGGGCTTGTCCAGATGAGCAAGATGAGCAAAAACCGCAGCGTTTGATTTAAGCGCTGTTGTTGACGATTGTGCAGTTGTGATTGGTTGGCGCCTCCTGCTGCCAAGAGAAACAAGGATTTGATTGGATGTCAGCGTCCCTCGTGGCGCGGCCGTCGTTGCGCGACCTGCATATCGACGAGCATTTACTCGCCAGTGCTGCGTCAAAAATAATTTGCTTTTTACCGGATGCATCTTGGACTACATGTTGTTTGTACGATCTCTAGTTTCAGGCTTCCAGCAACGAATGGAGCCACTGATATCCGGGGTACTCCTGAGGTCTTGGGCTCGAACAGGATGACGCCTCATCCGGTCTTATTATACATCGGAATTCCGTTTGTTGCATGGTTGTACCGTGACCTCGGATAGCCTCGATCTCTCCGAATACCCAAGTCAATAACAAATCACTGACTATTGAAGACGGAAGAGAGTCCCGACAACAAGACATTCTGTCATGGTGTATTGATGGTTGTGAAGAAGCAAAATGTATGTCTTTAGGCTGCGTTTGAGCGACTTTTCGACCCACGATCCAAACGCTGCTTTCGTCAACAATTGCCAGCCGTGTATGAGCATAGCGGCCACTGCTTCCTTCGTTTAAAATTAATTCACTGGCGCAAATATCTAGCAGTAGTTTAGGTAAATATATTTTGAATTCTGTAAAATACAATCGGGTATATGTCTATGCCTCCAAACGCCGAGCGAAACCAGGTCCATTGAATCATTTACAGCTCATCTCTGACAACACGTCCTGAATCTGATCTTGCTGCACTGAGCATGGCCAAAAGGTCGCGCGCCCATTCCGCATCCGTCTCTTGAATGATATGCTCGAGGTGAAACTCCCAACAGCCTTCTTCTAACATGGAGCTGTCCTTTTCGCAGGTGGCCGCGTCGCTGACGGGCTCAAGAGGCCATAAATCCGTCCTGGCCCCCAAGGTGGCATCCAAGAACGTATCCGACACAATTCGGCTAACCCGGGCTCTGGATGCTTTCCACGCATCTCCCTTCTTCAGGAGAATCTGTAAGAGATGCTTCATGCCGTCCGCGTCCATGAATTTGGGCCGGATTGTATCGCTCTTCAATAGTCTACCCACAACGGGAAGAAGTCTCTGAGTCCAGACTGCCTCCATAGCTTGGTCGGTGTCGGTCTGCATCGAGGGCTCCAGACCGCTAAAGACAATGTCTTTCAAGGGCTTCTCGTGAGCTGCACACTGAGAATCCATCAGATTCTCCCAGTAGTTCTCCAAATGGCGCAATGCCGGCGGGTTGTTCTGCAACGACGAAGACAAGATGGAAGACGCCAGGAAATCCCGCTGCTCGGCAGCTTCCCGATCCATTCCTGCCGCATCATGCTGGGTCAGGAGACAAAAGAGACTCTTGACTGCGTCTTCGTCTTCAATAATCTTCTTGCCATAGTACATGTCGTGGGAAATGTCCTCCAGGTCCACCAATGCATCATCCAACGGGTGCTTTTGGTCGTTTGGTGCCGTCTCTGCGTGCTCTTTCAAAAAGTCCAGCGCGGCCGTGAAATCCGGATCCTGGACCTGCGGTTCCTTCACGGCGCCGACAGGCTCGTAGATTGGTGCTCCCTTGGGTATCCGCGGCACATCATCTTCGACGGGTTCGGGGTCTACCACCAAGATTGACTGTTCCACGGGCAGTCCTTCCAGGGCCGGATCGTCCGAGTCGGGTGTGTACAGTTTTGCTTCCTTCTTTCCGGAATAAATGTCCATCCTCACGTGCAGACCCGTCGGGAGATCCTGATCATCATGGACAACCTGGAACTCATCCGTGGCAGAAAAAACCTTGGGATAGCAATCTGCTGGGTTATCGGTGTGGCATATCAACTCGCCCTCTGCTGATGGAGAAGGTGCCGCAGGTGACGAGGCGGCAGAAACAGAGTATGCGAAACAGGACAGGAATGCAAAGAAAATGAGAAATGCAGAAAAGTTACGTGAATTTGATCTGCGCATAGTGTCCAATGTGAAATTATTATACAAGTGTTGAAAGGAGGTGATGGTGGAAATGGGAAGGGGGTTAGAGTTTACGCTCTTGTGTGGCTTAAGTATATGTGAGGTGGCGATTGGACAGGTTGCAGAGGAAAGGCCACGAAGACCAGAGTCGGGACTTACTCGTCCAACTGTGTTGTGGCCTCTTTAAGCTCCACACGAGTAGGAGTCATAAAATAAGCGGAAACGAATGGAAATCTATAGTATTCCAATGATTTAGAGGAAAATAACACTTGGTTTTTTCCAGACACGTGTTATGCCTTTGCAGGATGTGATATTCAAAAGGTTGGCATGGCACATTTTGGACAAGATGCATATAAAGGTGACGTTGGGTGACTTGATACACCACCAAAAGCTGGCAAACCAAAAGATGCAGCAGGAAGTAAATAAAATATATGATTCAAAAAAAGTCTAAGATGGATTCTTGATGTATTCTCTTTATAAATTAGATCCAAGATAATACCGCGAAAATGCTCCAAATCAGCTTTTCAGAGCATAAAAAGATACCGTGAAGAAAATGACCAGCTTTCATTGAATTGTAAGACGCGAGTGATGGTTGGCTGCTTTGCAAGGGGGAGGGAGGGAGATCTTAGGGCGCATCTTGCCTACAATTTTTAGTGAAATGGAACCTCTTTTTGCTGAGCTCTTTGGGGCACGGGGAGTCGGGGAGCTCTGGAAACACACAGGCTTTTTCCCCACCCGCTTGCCAAATCATCCACTGCTGATTGGTCAATCTGGCCCCCCCGGGACGCAAGAGCCTCTTCCCGCATTTCGAATTGACCTCAGAGCATCGCGAAACCGCCTCAAAGAGACGACAGTTCAGAGGGAAGAGAGAAAGAAAAAGAGTTGTTTCAGCTCCCCACCCGCCAACCAGCCTTCAATCGCTCCCTCGTCTTCCCCTCGGACGACTTCATACCACACACACACACACAGTCGACCCCCCGACAAGATGCAGGCCGTCAGACAAGGTGCGGCTTGCGTCGCCCGCCGCGCGCGGCCTTCAATGGCTCGCCAGGTCCGCAGCTACGCCTCCGACCACGGTCACGCAGCTCCCCAGGTGGAAGAGAAGCTCAGCGTACGTTTGTTTCCATGATTTTTTGGGTATCGGTACTTGGCGAATGGACCGCCGGGGCTTCGAGGATAGGAAGTTTGGAAGGGCGGGCTATTGGGGAAGAAAAAAAAAGAGAGCGGAAGGAAGGAGGAAGAGAAAAGATGAAAGGGAAGGGAAAAGCAGAAACAAGAAAATTTGGCTGACACCAAACTTGGCATTATACAGACATCCTTTTACGTCTTCATTGGCCTCGTCCCGGCCTCCATGTTCTTCTACGGCATCTCGCGGCCGGGCAAGAACGGCGAGCCCTCGAGCCTGACCACCTGGCTCCGGGGCTTTGAGTGTTTCCGCCAGGAGGACATTGAGCGCAACGCGCTGCGCACTCAGCTATATGAGCAGGCTGCTCACGACAAGCACCTCTTCCTGCACGCCGAGAAGAACCCCCACATTGACCTCAAGATGCCCGAGTACGTATTATTTTTGTTTACATTTGCAACACTACCACTTTATCTCCAGATAAACGAGCTTTGACGGAAAGAAGGATGGATCTTGGCCTTTGCTTTAAAGGGTTGTGAGGATGATGAAATGGGAGCTAGAATCATGTGTGGAGAGAGAGACAGAAACACACACACACACAGATTCTCAGATCATGATTGCTGACATTCATCTCACAATAGGTTGATTGATGCTGGTGCTCCCTGGAATGTGCCAGCCGGCCACCGCGGCCGCAACGTCGGAGAGCTCACTGAGCACTTCAGGAAGCAGCACATTGAGGAGGAGGAGCGGAAACTGAAGAAGTTGGCAGCGGCCAAGGAGTCGTCGTGAGAGGTGCTGCTGAACAATGTAATGCAGAAAGAATGGGATGATGAGAGGAAAGAAGAAGAAAAACAGTGTACACCACAATTCTACACCAGTACATAGAAGTGAGCATTGCGCTTTCACGGACAACCAAGATATTTTTTTTCTTTTTGTTTGACAACATTTCCATCTCTTACAAGAATAACCCAGCTTGTAATGTGCCTATTGACCGGCGGAGAAACCTACTAATGCCGCAATTTTCGTTATCCGTCTACCTATACTCACAAGTCTGTGTGTGCAGTTCCGAGACTCAGAAAAGACATGTCAAATCCTGTGCAGAAGGTAGGATCGGGCATTCAAACTGGTTGCCATTCATACTGTCTGCTTCCTGGTGCTTGCGTCGACCAACGTGTTGGCTTCAGTAATTCCAAAGCGGTGGTGACGATGCTCACTATCCACTTCAGACATCATTGACCTTGTTAGAAAAATTAGCCACCTGGCCTACTATCATGAAAACAATTTAACAAGCCGTGTCATCCCAGAGCGATGATTTCGTAGCCATGGATATCAAATGAGTAGTCGTAAGTTGCTGCTGCTAGAGTGACGTGCGGACACCCACGTTGGCCTTTAACTAGTCGACCTTGACCAATAAATTGGATACGTTGTGCCTTGGAGAGCTAGATTATCATTTCCACGTACACTGACATGGATCCTGCTTCCAGATCCCCAACTTCCAATCAAAGACGAATTGTATCACTTGCGAGGGACGAAAAAAAGAGGTGAACCGAGATGTTTGTTTTTGTATGTTCGTAGCGTCCAATGATCTTCATGCATGTATCATCTAACGCATTGAGATACGGCAGAGGCTTGAACTTTTTGTGCCATGCCACCGAGCAAGAACCATTTCCGTTCGCCAAATCCATGAATGCAAGGAACCCCCCATAAAATCCACCACTGCTTATTTGAGAGGGATGAAACGAGACGAGTGGGTGGCACCAATACCGGGTCTACCGTGCTTGACAGGCTTGCTGTAGTAAGTTGTTAGCAGACTGATCGAGTAACTCTTGACCGCTAAGCCGCAGTCTCTCGGGTGGTGACGTACTAAGAGATGGAGAACTCAGCCAGGTAGTGGCCAACCATCTCAGGTCGGATCTCAACCTGGTTGAACTCCTTTCCGGAGTAGATACCAATGACGCTGCCAATCATCTCGGGGACGACAATCATGTCACGCAGGTGCGTCTTGACAAGGTCGGGCTTCTCGTTGGGCTTGGCCTCCTGCTTGGCCTTGCGGAGCTTCTTGATGAGACCCATGGGCTTGCGCTTCAAGCCCCGGTTGATTCTGCGGCGGGCACGGGCGTGGACGACATCACGCAGCTGCTCGGAGTCAAGGTCCAGGAGACTGTGAATCAAATTTGTGTTAGCGGATGATGCTGTTGGTGCTTCTGTTTGATCGCGCGACTGGAGATAAAATTTGCGTTTTGTATGCGCCTAGGTTCTGTGCTTTCGGGAGCAAATCGAGAATCGGGAATCACGTACGCATCAAGGTCGATGCCTCGGTAAGAGAACTTGCGGAACTGTCTCTTCTTCTTGAGCTCAGCGGCCTCCTCAGCGTTCTGTTCACGATCAGGTCAGCCGGTTGTCCTCCGCAAAGTTTTTTGATATCATCGCTCGTCGCCAATGTTTGCAGGTTCGCTGGCGGCGGCGTGCGAGTATCGTAAAGGCAGGTGCGGACGTACGTAATCGGGGTCGTCAGCCATGTTTACGGTTGGTGGTTGTCGTGGTCAAGATTCGCTGTTCGATGGAGGTTGGCTTGGTATCGAATAGCGAATTCGAGATGTCGAGTGGATGGGATCGTTGGATGGGGTCTCGAAACAAGCACCAATGCAGAGGGAAAAATTCAAGGGTTAACCAGCCCTCTAGCCCCGCGCACGTGATTTCGAAAGACAATCGGTAAAATTCCGGCCTAGCACGGGTCAGATAAGCCCGCGCCAGCCAGTTCTCCACTAAAAAGTTGATTCGGTTCCACTTCATGACCAGTCCTATCAAGAGTGTGGAGACAGGTCTTCTATCCTATGGAGACAGTCATCATCGTATTCCGTACTGGACTATCTATTGGGCTAATTCTGACCGTCAGAACTCGGTATATTGCAGATGTTCAGATCACTCTGATGGGCATCTAACTCGTGGCCTTAATCTTGATTCTTTTTTCTTCTTTTTTTTTTTAACTTGGTCTCAAATGTCAGGTTTCATAGTTTCAAGACTCTGTGTAATACCATCCGGGTCGTCGAATCAGAGCAAGCGTGAAGAAGAAGAAAAAAAAGAAGAAGGAGAAAAGGAAAACAGGAATAAATCCATCTCCAAACGCAATCCACAATAAAGTCGGCTATTACCAAGGCTCTCACCGTACGAACATATTCCCTCAAGACAGCATGCGCACTTTGATATTGCCATTGCATCAATTGTGAAACTTGGGATGTAGGTAGTTTGATGATCAGGGAAGATATATATATATATAGGCAAAGAAGGATAAAGTCGATTCGAATAGGTCCAACTATGGCTGCTCTCTGAGCCTTCCGAGATGTTAAGGTAGCGAATGCGCATATTATCCCTCTCACTGCCACACAGCAAGCTCTCTATCTGCTAGTATAGTACATTTAACTTCAGAAGCCTTGAACCTTGGGAAGTCGAGCAGTATCAAATGCTGACTCTTGCTAGGTAGGCTAGGCCCTCTCCAGCTGTTCCAGTCCAAGCACGATATCTCACATGAGCCCCCAATCGAGTCCGGTGATGTCAACGATAGACTGAGCCACGTGGGCCTGACAAGAAAATTCGACTTTTTGGGGGGAATAAAATCTCAAACCTTCAGGTCTCTAAAAACGCCTCTGGCGCCCATACATGATGGACTGTTGCTAAGATCAGGCTGGGGCAGAAAGCACGAGTGATAAACACCCTGAACCCATGCCATGCAAAATAAAATAAAAAGATTTTAAAAAAGACACCAAACGCACACGCTTCATGCGCATTGCCAACAATGTCCGCCGCCGACTGCTTCTCGCCTATTCATCGTCATGGTGCTCCTTTTTCGACATGCAGACCAAGCTCGCTTCTGTTTCACTCGATGGTTGGTTCCGGCTCCGGCACATCCGTCTTCATTTCGAGCTGTGCTCGCAGCATCGCCACTTCGTCGCTCAGCTGCACGATTCTCTCTTCGTGTGATCTCTCACTTTGCTCCAGGTTTGCGACTCGCGCGCTCATCTCTTTGAAGTTCTCTTCCAGGTTATGGATGTACACCCAAATACTTTGATCTGCACCAAAAATCGTGTTGGCGCTGCTGTCTGCTCCGTGCTGCTCAGTTCCATTCGCTGTCTGCTGCGTGACATCTGCTACCGAGCCACCAGCCTGCGAACCGGCAGCAGTGCCCTGCGCGTTGCTTTGCGGAGGGTAACGACCGTCATTTGTGGCGAATCCAGGCACTGAAGAGAGTTGAGCAACAAGCGCTTCTGGGTAGGAAGAGTGTTGAGACGAACCTGGTGGGGTCTGGCGGTCTGTCTGGTGCCGACCGAACTGTTGCTGCTGGAATTGTGTCGTCAAGCTGGGCGAACGCTGCCTGGTGATGCTGCCGTCGTGAGGCTGGCCGGGGCTAAGCGGCTTCGGACTCTCAGTCATGCCAGTCTGAGAATACAGTGACGCGTTGCCGCCAGTTGCCGGCACTGCGCCAGAGGCGGCTGAACTCACTGAGCCGTGTTCGACATTGGGCGGGAAAAGCCGGCCGCCAGCACTGACGCTCGGAGGATACGTCCGGGAATGAGGTGCGTAACCTTCAGGGGGCGCCTGGCCACCTTGCACGTGCTGAGCTTTGATAGTAGGTGTGGGCAAACTTAACCGACGACGGTCCTCTTCAGTCAACTCGGCCTCGTTGCTTCCGTCATATACCACACCCGACATGGTCGAGTCTCCCTCGAGCTGACTTGTGTCTTGGAATTCGTCGTCCCCAAAGATGCTGGCCCTGCGGCTTACGCAGCCACCAGGGCCTTTACTGTGTCGAGCCAATGCATCTCCGCGCGCAAACTTCCGATCGCACTTTGGGCAAATATGTGGCTTCTCGCCAGTATGCAGCTTGCTGTGTCTCTTCAAGTCGTGCAAGCGCCTAAATCGCATTTGACATGTGCCACAGGCATAAGGCTTCTCTTGGCTGTGGGTTAAGAGGTGACTCTTTAGATTATGGTGCCGCGTAAACTCCGTCTCGCAGTACGGGCACTTGTGTTTCTTTGAATTAGGTGATCTCGGTGCGACCTGTTGCCCAGGCGTCATAGGCAAGCTTGACCCGCGGGGTGGTGGCGCAGGCATTTGCGTTGCCGCTGTCGCTGCGCTCACCAGCCCGGGGTACGATAGCGATGTGCTCTCCTTTTCTTCCATTTGAGCTTGCGGTTGCGGTAGGTAGTTTGTTTGATTGAGCTGCGGGTCAATGTCCATGGGCGCAGGGCTCGCTGTAACGGTACCACTAGCTCCGCTCACATTCGTGGTAGTAGGACTCGTGTCGACCTTGATCTCCTCTGCATGTTCTGCCGTCGGCGCCGGCTCGACCGGCTCCATTGGCTCTACCGGTTGCTCTACATGTTGTTCGACTTGCTGCTCTACCGGATGTTCCACCGCCTGCTCTACTGGTTGATCTATCGGCATTGGCTCCGCCGGGAGACCATCGGCCATGGGCGCATCCTGTGGCCTACTGATTCCAAGTGCGCCGGCCGACATGAGATCTGACTGTACTCTATAGGCAGGGTTTTCACTATTGCCCGAGACCTGGAGCCTGTACTGTTCGTCTTCCCGGCGACGCTCGTCCCGCTCGTCCTCAAGCGCGGCAGCGCCGGTCAGAGGGGCAGGCGATCGTATCGTCGCCAAATGAGCGAGTCGGGCAACTTTTGTGGGTGAATAGTCAGAAGCGAGCTGCGTCGCAATAGCGGAGCTCGGCGATGTCGGGGTAGTCTCTCGAGCTCTCTTCAGCGTGGCAGCGGCACGACTCGCGTCAGCTTGTAGCGACTCTGCCGTGATGGGCGAGGTAGGAACTGGGTTGGATGAGAAGGGCTGGGCTTCTGTCGCAACAGGACCTTTTTCGGACGCCATGAGTCTCGGCGCAAAAAGAAGTCAGACAGGCGATTGAGTTCCTACAAAGAACAGGATTCCAACAGCTTGAATAACACCTTTGCAGAGCTCTTTGCGCATCAGTTGCGCATGTTCGAGCTGGCGGATATGGTTGAGGCTGGAGAGGGTGTGGCTAGAGTCGTGGCTGTTCTGGTGGTTGTGGTGGTGAGTATCGCGCGTGTCGAATTGTTGGGTCTGCGAGTTTTTACAGGGGCGGAAGGGGGGAAAAAACACGAAAGGTTTTGGCCCGGTGCTTTAGTAATGTGAATTGAGAAGCGCGACGTGGCGAATCAAGTTTGTATGTGCGGTGACGGTACGATGGTGGAAAAGGTGCACACCAGAAAGTCGCAAGAGAGGAATCGGCTGCAACGACACCAATGTGATGCGAGTAGAACTGAGCCGCAAGTGATAATAGTCAGGGAATAATACCTTGTCAGGCATGTGTGGATGAGCAAGCAAAGAAAACGGCTGAGGAAGTGTGGCAGAGGCGAAGGAGGTTTGGCTCCGTCCGGCTTTTGCTACCTCTGCGCTTGTGCTGCTTTGCTCTCTGCTTCTTCCAGGTTTGCCCAGGAACCCGTTGGCAAGGTTCAGTGTCGGCCCTGGGGCTTTTGCTTGGCGGCGGAGGAGATGGCTGATGATGGCTGATGATGGGGGGTGTCCTCTTCTGTTCAGTGCCTGGTGACTTGACTTTTGACTGGGTCCAAACCAAAGAGGCGTACGGCCTGAAGCCTGCAGCGGGCGTAGTAGTCGTAGTAGTAGTTCCAAAATAAAATCCTAGTGTAGGTAGGACTGGGGGCGGTTGGCCCACCTAAGCACAATGCTACTATGTATGTCCACTTGAAAGTTGGATTGTGGCTTCGCGAACTGGAAAGTTGTCTTAGGTCTTGATTCAAGCACAGCCCAGGATACCTGGGAGGGTTGCCTTGGTGGTAAGTGGAGGGTACGGCCAGTTGGTCGTCCAGTGAAGGTACATTAATGGGGGTGAACAGTAAGTTCGTGTTCCTTCCCGCGTGCAGATTGCGGGAGTGTGATGCAAAGTAAAAGGCAAATGGTGATGGATTTTAGGTCCAATAAAGGTACGGATGAATGATCAGTCCTCTGGGTGGGTAGGTAGGTAGTAAGGGATAGTTTTAGATATCTGGGGCAGCACTTGGGAGGTGCCGAAGTTGGGAAATATCTTGCCACGAGAGAGGCAATCCTGTATGTACTCTTTTTCTGGTCTGGGTGTTGGCGGAAAGCTTTCTCAACTCGTTGGCAGCTCAGGTAAATTCAAATCGTCCGTCTTTACCTTCTGATGCCGCTGTTCTTGGGCCAATATTTCGGTTAGTATGCGAAGTAGGCCTGTTGCAACTTTGCTTGGTTCATGGGTAGAGTAGGGCGAAATGAATAAGTGCTGTTAATATTGATTGTCAGCTCGGCTGTGTCGAATCACCAGCCTCAATTCCTTGGTGTGCATTTGCGAGGGGGTGTGGCCACGCAGGCTGGCGGCTTTCCAGGGAGGGTTATGATGTCAAGGTCGTTGATAATCAGAACTTCACTTGGGAACCACGAGTACATTACGTATAGACAGTCAGTCAGTACACACATGGATACATTAGCTACTAATGTAGGTATGTATGCAAGCATCGACTTGTTTTGAAGGAGGGGTCGTGGTTAGCAGTACATAGCTTCTTCCCCCAGTGTTGATCAAATCATCTCTTCACTGGAGATGGGTCGATACTTACTGCTCTTGCCTGGAAGGCGAATACCCAATTCGTCACAAGCCGAGGCGATTTGCGCTTTTGACCAGCCAGTTTTTATTACTGCATGTGTCAGCACAAAGACAGAGGGGAGAGAGGAGAGAGAGAACAGTTCTGGTACCAGTTAACCAGAAGCAAATGTACCTTGTCGCGAACACCTAACCCAGGACTACCGGATTAAATGAACTGGCCTCTCAAAACTTAACGCGGTACCTACGGCAAGTGGCTGTGCTTGGGTACAATCTTGTTTGACCACCACAAACTCGGAAACGGTGCAATGCCTGCAGTAGAAGTCCAGTGCCTTCCCAAGTGCTGCTGCTGGTCATATTACATTTGTTTTTTTTTTTTTTTTTTCTCATATGAATGATCAATTCCCATTCCCAAAACCGACCAACAGCGCGAGATCGTTTTGTTTTACAAGCAAGTTGACAGCCGAGCAGAGGCAGCCAGGTTCTCTGCATTTGCATCAACCGTCATTCGACCAATGATCGTTGATCTCCTGGCATGGTCGGCGATTTGGTTCCTGCCAGTGAATAGCGAATCCCCGTCTGCCAATGATCGTATCCGCCTCCCACCTCTCTTGTTAAAGCTGACGGTACATGAGATCTTCCACTCAGTCGAGCCCGTTGAGCACCAGAACAACTGGCATGGGTAGCTTCCAGTAGGTAACTAATGTAGTATACCAGCTAGACGTTCTTCCCTGAGTTGCCGCGGGGCAGCTTTTTACGTTACCTTGGGCCTGTTTAGCGGTGACGACACTCCATAAAGCAGGTTTTTTTTCTTTCTATTCTTCGCAAATATCCCCAACTAAAGTATTTCGAGGGACGCCACTGTGTTTTGTAGATTCAATTACCCAGTCTTTCCCTCTGACAGTCATTCGAGCCCTAAAGCGCCTCTGAGATGCGGTACGTATACATCCATACGTACTATGTACGTGCAGGGCCGAGTGAACTTGCAGAAGAGATCCGCGCAATTACTGCCACAATGAGCCTACCGCAGCAAAATTGCCGACCTGGACCCTGAAGCAGCCAATCATAGCCATGTGGATGAGTATATGACAAGCCCCGGAATCTCAGCAAGCCGAGACTCTTCGCTCTCTGTGACGTCCCCGGTATCTGCACCGGACATTGGAGGCGAACAATCGGGGTTTTGGGGTGAATCATTATTGGTAGGTAGGTAGGTAGGTACTGTATGCTCGGGTGTCTAGCCTCGCAGCAACTGCAAGTCACTCTCTGGCTCCTTCTTGAGAGTTCCATCTTCTCCTCCTGTGCCCAGCGGTCGGCATTCTCAAGTCGGTCGTGATGCGCGCAGTCCCTCGACGCATTTGACGAGTGACTCGAGTCCAGCGCTTCCTCTCTGTCGTCAATCATTTCTGTTCAACCCAAATATATGGGAGCATCGCAAGTGGAGTCTCCGCTGCTTTCCCCCCCGCGCTCACGCGCCACCCAAAATGAGATTGGCTCATCACAATGACAAGCCGCCGCAAACAGCGTGCTAAATCATTTCGGTACTGTCATAACAGGCTAACAGAGGCCCGGAAGGCCCTCAGTCGCCGGAACAGGCAACGGCCCCCGCAGAGTTGGACGCTTTCGGATGCTTTCAGGTGAGGGTAGCCGCCGAATCTATCACCAGCCACCTCTTCCATACAAGGTGCTGCTAATTTGTCCCTTTTATTATGGTGGAGACTAAATGCCAATCCCGAGCGACCATTCGCACTCACTCGCTGTGCCCATGGCCCCCTGCTTGCGGCACATTGCTATAATACCACATGCCAGCATGCATAACATGAAATAAGCATGGCGATGTGGGCGGTCTTGTACAGAAACCGTCCAGCCTTACCAACATTGGCACGGATATTGCCAGCCACGAAGCGCCCATGGTACGTCGACGTCGGGGGCACTGTCCAGCAATCGGCTGTTCTGGCCAAGGTAACCGGTTCTATTGAACTTTCTGTGGCCAGTTTCTTCAATTAGTGAAGTGACCATATGGCCAAGGAACCAAGCGGCCGCGATTGTAGAACTCCAAAGAGGCCAAGCGGCGGACGTCTAAATAAATCCGGCCCCAAACTGCCAAGGTATTTCAAGGCAACACGACCGTGAATTTTCAAAAGGGTGTCAAGATCATGCCGGTCCACGACGTTTTGTAGGCAGCGCTTTCTCAATCTGTTAGCTATACGAGATCAACATGAAAAGGACATGACGTTCAATCTGCTCTCCAAGTCTATATGCTGCATATGGCCAGACTTTTTGCCCCGATTCCAAGCAGATGTCATTATGATTAATGGGAACAGACAGACGGGCATACAAAAACCGACAAAGAATCAAAGAGGACATTTCGGGATGAAATGAATCATGCCAGGCTACATAGTGGATTGAGTGGATGCAACAATCTGATGCTATCTGGACACGCAGAGAGAGGTCGACGGCGTGTATGAGCATATTTGGCGAGTCACATCATTCCATAATGTTGAATGAACACATTGCCACGTCAAGACGCGGTTGATGGAGTTTGGAGGATTCAATATTCCCCAGGCTTTTGGCATTGGCAGCAGACATCCTGGTTGCTGGCTGCTGGTTACTATTGACCACCTATTTCCTCTGCGTCAGCTGCAGTAGCGCCAAGCCAGCATTATAATCCTGGACAAAGATGCATTTTGGAACTACCAACTGCTAACTAACCTCAGGGGAAGATTGCATTCGGCGTCTAAGTTGGGACCTCGCGCCTTGATAATGGAAGAGTCTTCTTTGACCTCAATTTGTTCGCAATTCATGGAATGATGCACATGTTATATAGCAAACCATCTTGTCCTGGAATGCCTGTTGCCAGTTAGTTACCAGCAGGACGGGTTCGGGTTCATTGTGGTTGTCAGCAATCCAGATGCGCCCGTTGGATTGGGATCCTGCTCGATCCTATTTAAGGTACTGACTCGGATAACAAGGATGCGCGGCTAAGCTCACCGAACTCGAGTTGGCCGTTGTCCTTCCCTTTTTTTTTTTTTTTTTTTTTTCCAAATTGTGTTTTTTTTGTTCCAATTGCCTCACACATTGACGACTGGCCGGGAAAAGAAAAAAGATTGTTGCGAAGAGGGCAGCGTCCCCAGTCTCGCAGCGAGAATGCCATCGTGTATTCGTCGTGTACTCGGCTGCATGGTCACAGTCTGCCTCCTTCTCCAAGTGTTATATATTGGCGAGGTCAGGGCCGCCGCGGTCACCTCCGGCCGCGACATCCCAAACGGGTCGGCCGATGCATCTGCTCCGGCGCTAGATGCGACTGAGGTGTTTGACTTTCAGGGCCGCGACATACCATCAATATTCGAGCTTTCCGGAGAGATTTCCACCAATGTTCACGATGCGGAGGAGGGCGCCCGGCTCATAGTCCGTCAGGACCATGATGCAACAGCACTTGTTCTCCCGGGATCCTTTCAATCCGGAAGAGTCGAGGTGTTTGTGAAGTCCGTGGTAGCTGCTGGTGTCTTAGTCGCTGTCAGGTTACGCTCTGGTTCTTCGGACGAGATCGCATTGGTTCGTGAGCCTCTTTTATCCTGTGCTTCTTTCCTTATTTTTTGAGGTTACATCGGCTAACAAATATGTATAACCAGGAACTCCTGGGTGGAGAAGTGTCTCTAGTTGCAAGCAGTGTATATCACTCGGAAGACCACGAGATGAACTCATCGGATCTAGAAACTACAAAAGTAGTCGCGATAACTAATGCGTATCTCAATCTCACCATTGACTGGACTGCACAGTCGGTCCAATGGCTCGCGGACGGGAATGTCGTGGGTACTCTGGCCCACGCCAATGACACACATTTGTAAGTGCTACAACGGCAAGACGTTTCCAATCCGAGGTTGGATCTAATCAAAATTCAGACACGCATTCAGTCAACTTGCCTTGACTGCGGAACTTCGAGATGATCAGTCTAATGAGCGCGAGATGGTGGCTATGAGACGTGTGCCGTACTTTGCAGAAGTCATGAATATGACAATCACCCACTACCATAGCCAATCCCTCGGCGCTCTAGAAAATACGGATAACGATGCGCCCGGCACAGAAAGGATCCTACAAAGATGGCCAATGACGGAAATGAAAACGGGAAGCTGGTTGAGGAAAAGAAGTTACTTAAGCGTCAGGGACGTTCACTTATCGGACAAGACGAAATTGGCTTTTGGACTTACGGTTGGCATTGGCGGTGGCTCGCTTGTTTTTCTCGTTTGCTTTGCTTTGTTTCGTGTCAATGGTTATTGCAGGTTTAGACGCAAGAAAAATGCCCCTGCTATATACTCGGGCGAGATGAGTAGCCAGAGGACGACACCACGAACAACGCAGACAACATTGGTCAATTCTCCCCAACCTCGAGGGGACAGCAGAAACACCTACTACTACAACGTACAGAGCGACCGAAGGCATACTTGCGATCATGCACCTAGAGGTCAGAGATACGATCGAGATGGAACGGGTGCGGACCGAAGGCACAGTCATCAGGTGGCGCCAAGAGAACAAAGGTATACTCACGATACCGTGCACAAGGAGAGGAGATATACACATGACAGGATTCCGCAGGAAAGGCGGTGTCCTCACGACAGAGGTCATCCATATAGAAGGTACACTCAGGATGACAGAAATCTCGAATACAGGAGGTATACTCATGACGGAAGGAGTCCCAAGGACCACAGGCATAGCCATGGTAATAGGAGTCCTGAGTACCGGAATCATACCCAGGATAGAGCCACCGGGAATCGACGACATACTCGAGATAATGGCCAAAATGACCGGACGCCCCCTCAAGTAGAACGCAACAATCGAAAGGGAGGACAAACCAAGGATCACAAACAACAGAAAACTACCACGCCTGCCGTTTCTAGCGGCAACAAGCATAAGCCCTCGGAAGCGTCCAAGATTCCCGAGGTCGCAAAGATCAAACAAGAACCGCCCACCGTGCCCGAAGAGCGCAAGACCGGTCCTCTCGCATTCCTGCTCGCAGGCGGCCGGAAAAAATCTCCGCAGCCCGAGGTCTCGAAAAAGGCGCCCAGCGCCCGGGTCCCCTCGATCGCCGAGCTCGACGGCCAAGGGGTTTCGGAGCAGCTGGCCACGGTCATCAAGAGGAGGCGGTCACTGGAAAAGAAACCCCTGCCGACGGCACCACAGCTCTCGGACAGCGACCTGGCAGCCGTGCGCCACGACGACGGCGACCAGGACGGCGGCAACAATGAAGGGGTTGTACGGTACAACCTTTATGGCTTATGAAAT